CAAATGAGCGTTCTTGCTCATTTTGCCTCCGAGAAATGAGCAAAAACGGGACGGAAAACATTAAATTTTGGCATAATCTTGCACCTAAATGTCTGATATTCAAATTTCGCTTTCTGAAGTTCGAGTTTCAAACTCAAAAGTATTTTTCTATATTGTCAATTTCCAATATTGTGAGTGTTCGGACGGTTTGTTTTCCCATTCACACTCATACCGAAAGTGTGTTGAATCCGCCCTGGTTGGTTCAACAATGTGAGCGAGTTTTCGTTGAGAGGAAACGAGAAAAAAGTGCCTGCTTGAAGTTCCCGAACTTCCTGTCCCAACTGAAAATTCCACTGCAAGCTTATATTACAAAAACATATTTGCGGCAGCAAAAAAACCGGCAGAACCACACACATACGTATGTATATGCATACGGAATACGGAATACAAAGCTCTGGAGAGGGACTATCGGCCATTTCAAAAGCTCTCGCGTCACTCAGTCGGATGAATACTGCTGGCTTGTTGCAATCTGGGGACCATGAAATATTTCTCTGGTCCACTGGAGCATGTCACTGTATTTGTGAAGTCGGCCAGACGCGTCCATCTACCAGATATAGGATATCTTGGCATAGACGTAGATGATCAGACCCATAATATTCTTGAAAAATTCCTGATCGGAGTTCAAAGTAGCTGTCCAAACCAAACCAATATCTTTAAATCGTGTTCGCATCCTCAAAACTTTTCATTGGAAATTCTGTTCCATTTTCAATCTAACGGCTTTGGTGCGTCGAATGGCCGGTCAACCGACCAGATCTAAATCCCGTGGAACTTGCCAAGATAGTCAAGCTGGAACTTTGCAGTCGTTGATTGAACCCCAATTGAACTAAGGCTTGATTAAATATTGCCGAGCTTTATCGAGGCACTGATACAGCTGTGCGTGGCCTGTTTAGAGGCTCTCTTATCAGCACATGTGGGGCCCAGCGAACCCGTCACCAGACGCCGTTTTTATATTTACTATTTGCCGTGGATGGCCAGCACCAATAAGTCAAACAAGTAGAGTTTCTAACTTCATTTTAAACATGTTTTGAGGCCGCCATGAAAAGTTGAGGCCGTTTTTGCGGTTAGTTTTTTCATTGTGCTGTTCAAACCTTCTCTGTGAAGTGCTTAAACAGGTGATCTTTTAGATAAGTTCTACATTGTTGAGGCGGATTCATTTTAGAAAATATTATAGATACATTATATATATTTTTCACAAACTTCTTTTTGGGTATTTCGCCTCAAAAATTTTTGTCTTAAAAAAAGACAGAATTTCCTCACGTCTTTGATTACAGATTGATAAATAGTGCTCCCATTTCGCAATAAGAACGAATTATTTATCAAAAAGTAATCAAGAACTAGAGGGTATCCTGCGACACACTTAGGCTCAAGCTGTAAGAGAAAATTACAATTAGTAGAGAAATTAATTTGAAAAATTACCTTGACGTTTCGATAGCTATTTTCTGCTATCGTTATCAAAAGAA